ACAGACATCTGCTCACAATGCACTCTAGATTGCACCGACAGTTACTTTCATGCTACTTGGACCTGCCAACCAGTTCATTCCCTCTGGATAGCAGTGACAGAGAAACTCTCCACCATCTTGGGCTGTAGAATCCCTCCTTCTCCATCACTTTGCATACTCGATAATATCATAGAAATCAACCACCTACCAATTAAATACAAAAACCCACTCCTCATTTCTCTAGCTATTGCCAAGAAAACAATCTTTCAAAATTGGAAATCAAAATAATCACTACATATAAACCACTGGACCAAACTTCTGATAGAATACATCACACTAGAGAAAGTGACATTCACTCGCAATAATAGTTTATAAGCTTTTAATGATACATTTCTAACACATTTCAACTTGAACCAAACACCTGGGGCTGAGGCCACACACATTCACACCAACCTCTAAAAATTTAACAAGCTGATTTTATTAATAGTACTGTTATCATCATAATTATTGGTAACTTTTTATTTATATATTTATTTCCCCTCCTTTTCCCTTTCTTGCGTTTCATAGACTGAATAAGTTGGAAATACCCAGACTTCACACACTAAAATCTTGTTAAACGCTCTATATCTTCTTGTAATGTCATGTATCTGTTGTCTTGTCTCCCATGTTCAGTACCTTTTATTAATGTGTTACATTGTTTCAATTAAAAAAAAAAGGAAAATAGGTATAAAGAGGATGAACTGTCAAGATAATTCCAGTAACTGTACATAGGAAGGTGATATAATAGTAATAAACCTTTTAAAGCAACAGAGAGTAGTGACAATAAAAGCTGATTATTCAAAAAGTGTTACTAATCCATGCTTTTTTGTCCAGAATGTGCACATGAACTGCGCCCTTGAAGCACTGCATTTAGAATCTTTTCACTATAGTGCTTTTGAGGAAGTTACTGTGCTCTTTGCCACATTTGCACTGTTTTCCTGAGGCAGGTCACTGCAATTAGATAGACTGACCAACCTGCATAAAAAAAAAGTTTGAATTAAAAGTAAATAGTAAAATCAACAACAACAAAACGACAGGTGTGGATGTTGTCATAGAATGTTGCTTCTTATCACATCCTGTCGAAGCTGTCGTATCTTAACATCGCCTTCATTTTTGTTCAGTCTCTCACCTCACCTTTGTTTTCACACTCCGTTTCTGTAGAAAAATAAAATTAAATAAATAATACCAGTCATCCTCTCAAGTTGCAACACAGATTGAGAAACCTTCTGACATAGTGTTTGCACAAGGGGAACTCTTCGTACTGACGTGGGATGTTTATTTTAAGCAGCACAAACTGTGATTACTTCACTTATTGTCTTTTGGATCTTAAGCTTTTCTCCCTCTGATTGTGGCTGTGATGGAGAAACCAGCATCCTCACTATCGAACTGCCTGCTATTGCATCATAAAACCACCACTGGGAAGAGATAAAAGATAATTTTGCTGCACACATATAATAGCATTGCTGATCCCGCTGTGATTGAAGCTCACTTAGATGATCCAAGGTTCTCTAGTGAAAAGCGACGTGCCTGTCGTGTCTCATCAGGATTGATTGCTGGATGTGTTGTTTGGGCTGTGGGAGTAGTTTACTGGTAGTTGTCCATTTAGCTGAGAGAGTTCTCTCACTGTCACCTGGAGAACTCGGAGATGACTGACAGAGTGAAAGCTGCTGACAGTGTGAGTGTGACCGGAAGATGATCTCTGAAGGTCTGACAATGTCTTTGGATGCAAGTACATTCACCACCTGTGATATTGGGCTATAGATAAATAAAATAGACTGTTAACTAGCATTAATGTTGATAATTAATCATACTAGGTTTTTCAGCATTGTTGTTGAAGCTTCATCTTTAAGTGATCTTTAAGTTTGTCTTTAAATGTAGCCAGTTGCATAGTTACTCTTATCTTTAAAACGAGTCATGGAAGTGCTTCTCTGTGTCATGACATGTACGCTACCAGACTGGTAGTGTCAGGCATTTGGAACTTCAAGGCCAAGTTCTCTCTGGTTCTCAGGGATCCCAGTTCATCGTTTACCAAGGATTTACAGAGACACCCTGCAGTTAAACTGACTGAATAATCTGTTACATATCGAGATTTAGGGCTTATTTGAGTTAATGTGCTAGATTGTTATTGTAATATGATGTTTGTAGATCTGTACATACTGTGGATAGATAGAAACATGACGTGTGGGTAAATAAATGCATTTTGCAAAACATACTTATTTGCTTCCGTTCTGCTCCCTGAGATGCTTTTGTGACCATGAACTCAAAGCAGCATTAGCACATTGTAATCCATGTATGTGTCTGTGTTCAGCATGCCTTGGAAGTATACAAGGACATGGTCCTGCTGTACATGGAGGAGGGCCAGAGATGGGTCAACTCGCACTGCGCCCACCTGGAGCCGTGGCAGATCATCGGAGCCACAGTCTTCATCACACTGGGAGCAGTCTGGGTCAAGAGCTTCCTATTCCAGCAAGAAAGTAATGTCCCGCACGTGATACATGGCTCCACAGCAGGCCTGCTAGGGACTAAATCAGAGATGATAACAGATTAAATGAGCTGGCAGTCTCCTGAAATTGTAGAGGCTGTGTTCACAAAACATGTATCATACTGTAATTTGCAGTCCCATTCTGTTAACATGGGGTTTAACCTGTGCTGTATCAGAGTCGGAGCAATTAATAACTTTTTGATGAAAACCTCTTTGTTAAAGTGTCCCTGCTACTCTGCAGTTAGTATCCTCTAGTACAATACTTGTTTTTGTAATATATCAGACAGACCTTCAGTCAACAAGAATCTGCTATCACTCAATCAGAGGTCGGATCTCTCAGCAACAAGGCCAGCTCCACCCATCTTACTTCAGCTTTTAGAGAGTGAGAAGTAGTTAGCTGCATGTCTTCAGTGCTTTGAGGTTCACAAGAAAATGTTTTGTGAAAATGGGAGCAGTTGCCAGTGGGCATGACATCTTGTCTTGACTTGTGACTATAGGTCACAGTCAGCTGTTGAATATTAGTGGTTGAACGTGCAACAGCATTTCACCACAGCTGCTGTCTCATCTTTTTGCTTAATAGGTCTCACATCCCGAATCAAGAAGCAGTGGGTTCGACTCATCAGAAAAATACCCTTTGTTGGTGTGGCAGTAAGTATCAGTGGTAAATCTGTTCCCTCTTTTCCCAGCAGATGTGCAGTTACTCTGTCACTTGAGGCTCCTATGAGTCACTCATGGATGACCGAGTACAGCGTACTGGGGAGGGGGTCAGACCTTTGGTACACTTGCCATCATGCACTGATGATGACATCCAATTACTTTTGGTCATTATGTTGCCAGCACAGAGCTCACTTTCAGACTCTATCAAAAATATACATAAACTGTTGATAGCACAGTGGAAATGTTGTCAGTGACAGGCTTATACCACTGCTGCCTATGTCTGTCTAGTAGCTCTCTCCTCTCTTTATTGCAGATTCAGAACAAGCTGAACAAGGCTTTGGATGACATGTCTGCTAGTATGTGCACTCTGAAGAACGGGATGAGCTACACTAAACAGCTGCCTTCTAAAGGTCTCTCTCAGAGCCAAGTGCTGGACAAAATCAAAGAGTACAAGACTCTGAGTAAGTCATGATTCATTCCTGAGTGTTGCCTCATAGTTTATTTTAACTGGTGACTTTCTGAGCGTATTTCTAACCTGTTGTTCTACCACTTCATGAGGAGTATATTTTGCATTCCACTATTAAGGTTACTAATGAGAACAAGTGATCTCTAATGAGATGATGTGCTGTTACAGATGAGGTGCAGTGGGAGAAAGGCTGTGTTTTGGGTATAGTGTACTGGGGTGATAAAACACTGACCAAACTCTTGGTGGAGGTATGTACATTTGAATCAACTCCTGTTCGTTCCCTTAAGTGACAGTACTACCGGCCTAGTTTTTGTGTGATATCTGGAGTTTATGCAAATCTTGGTATCTTTTGTCTTTTTCTAGGTATATGGAGACTTTGCATGGAGTAACCCCCTTCACCCAGATATCTTTCCTGGTGTAAGAAAGATGGAGGCAGAGATTGTTCGAATGACTTGCACACTTTTCCACGGAGGAGCTAACTCCTGTGGCACAGTGAGTCCCCCGTCTAGTATGTGCTCACAAAGTGTATGAACGTACTTTGAAGCATCTTTGCTTCCACTTTGTCTAGGTTACCTCAGGAGGAACTGAGAGCATACTGATGGCCTGCAAGGCATACAGAGACATGGCGTATGAACGAGGTGTCAAATTCCCAGAAATGTAAGTCAAGCTTTATAAGCCCATGTCAAGGTTTCTTCTTTACAATGTTTGCTAGAGAAAGTTGTAATGATGTTATTTTTTTGTTCTGACACCTGCAGTCTTGCACCTGTGAGCGTCCATGCAGCTTTTGACAAAGCAGCACATTACTTTGGAATGAAACTTGTTCACATTCCTCTTGATAAGAAAACTATGAAAGTAGACGTTAAGGTAGGAACACAGTATAAACAGAGAGCGGGTGCTGATTGACTGTTATTCTTAGATATTGGTTATCCTCATGTTGTTTCTTCCCTTTCAAGGCTATGAAGAGAGCCATCAGCAAGAACACAGCAATGCTCGTGTGCTCAGCGCCTCAGTTTCCTTATGGAATCATTGATCCCATTGAAGAAGTAGCTAAGGTCAGGAGAAGTAGTGAGACTTTTTCCCACCGAATAGATTCTGGGATGAAAACCGAGAAGTCAAATCTCTGACACTTTCCCCTCGGTGTGTTCCAGCTGGCTGTACGCTACAACCTCCCACTGCATGTAGATGCCTGTCTGGGGGGTTTCCTCATTGTCTTCATGGACAAGGCTGGTTACCCACTTGCCCCATTCGACTTCCGGGTAAAGGGTGTCACCAGCATCTCTGCAGACACCCACAAGGTAAGGAGTGGCTGTTTATCCCCTTCAGTTCGACACATCTTTTAAACTTAGTGACTTACATTTTCTTGTTTTAAAATCTAATAAATCCTATCCAATTTAAAGACCCGTGTTTAATGTTAACTGGTTTCAGACCATATGTTCATTGTTATTTTAATACTTCACTGTGTTTGTCACATTCCTCTCCAGTATGGCTATGCTCCCAAAGGTTCCTCAGTGATACTCTACAGTGATAAAAAGTACCGGCAATACCAGTACTTTGTAGCTCCAGACTGGCAGGGAGGAATCTACGCCTCTCCCTCTGTAGCAGGCTCCAGGCCAGGAGGAATCATCGCTGCCTGCTGGGCGAGCATGGTTTACATAGGAGAGAACGGATATGTAGATGCCACCAGGAAGATCATCAGCACAACACGGAAAATCAAAACGGAGTAAACAATTCAGATTATGGCTACAATAGTCATTATGTGATAACTAACAATACCAGGACACTAACCATTATATACCATTATATATCTTTTTTCTTATGGACAGAATCCAGAAGATTGAGGGAGTGTTTGTGTTTGGAGATCCAGAGGTGTCAGTGGTGGCGATAGGCTCTGACGTCTTTGACATTTTCCGTCTGTCTAATGCACTGATGTCGAAGGGCTGGAATCTGAACCACCAGCAGTTCCCGTCCAGGTATATAGAAAACAAATAATAGTAATTTGACAGATTTAACAGTAAGTTGACTGTATGATCTCCTCTTTCACAGCATCCACATTTGCTGCACAGTTCTGCACACCCAGCCAGGCGTGGCTGATCAGTTTATACGTGATGTCAGAGAGCAGGTCGCCATCATCATGAAGAATCCCAAAGAGAAAACCACAGGGATGGTGAGCCAGCTTCCCACACTAAATATACAAAATACACCCAGTAGTCATTTTATTAGACACATCCATATGTTCTAATGCAGTTGAATACAACAGTGCTGCCATACATTTTACCTTTGCCAAATTATAATGTTCAGTTTTTGTTGACTTTGTCAGAAATGTGAGGGGTCACTGGTATTTACTACTAAGGTCATTATTGTCCTCACTGTTTATACACAACAGGGGCAGAATATTATAAACACTTCTCATTATAATGAAGGCCAGTACAACACCATCTCATAGAGTAAACCCTGAGTATATGTTTAATACATTTGTATTTAATCATTACTGAGTATGCCAAAACAATCAGTACAAGAAGTGGCCCATACATTTCATACTGTCTTGTCAATAGCTTCATCTCTGTGTAAATGACAGGTTTTGGAGGCTGATTCATACGATCAGTAACTCATTGTTTTGCTTTGCTGTTGCACAATCACACAGTGTAACCTGCTAGTTTTGCAGTAACAGTCTTTCACAGTGCCACTGCATTATAGACAAATTCACACCCACAGTCAGTTTACAGTACAGTTTCCAAGGTGTCAGTTGAAGGTGAGACAAACTACATGTGCTGTATTGTGTGTAAGTTCTAAATGGAGTGGAACCTCGGTCCCAAGAGTTGGGTTTGTTAGGAACACACCCGTTACTGAAGTGTCACCTTCATTAGAACAACAGAAATAAAAGACCAGACATGGAGTAAAGTCCTGCTGGAGGAGAAAATAAATATTAAGATTATATTCAAATATAAAAAAAAAATATGCAGTGAATAAATCAGTGGATAAATTGAGTATATTTTTTATTTTGTGTATTTTACTATTTCATTCATTATTCAAGTGAGTGTTTTGTTCACTTACTCATTTAATTTCAGATAAACCAGATTCAGTCTTCCTCACACAGGCTTGTGGGAAAGTTGCAGGGGCAGCATAGAAAGGGGACCCTCAGTGTCAGACTGTGGAAACCCCTCTGGACTAACACAATTACTCTCTCCAGTATATGCACACAGCTCAAAAAACCTTTTCTCTGAGGCTTGTTAAAGGGGATGCTGGGTGATAGAAGAAGACTCACAGAAGTTACCAAGGCAGGTTTATGAGTACATGTGTGTTTTTCCCTTTTAGTACTGTGCACTTGTAAATCCCCTCCTGTCCTCTTACTGATTCAGGGAGCAGTCTACGGCATGGCCCAATCCATCCCAGACAGATCCATGGTGACAGAAGTCTCCCGGGGTTTCCTGGACTGTCTCTATAGCACTGAGACAAACACCAGCCACATGAACGGCAACGGCAGAGCCCACTAAAACTGGATTGGGCCGTCTTGGCCTGCACCCACTGCATGCAGGGAAACATGCTCACCTCCTCCCAGAGATCAGAGCTGATCGCTCAACAGCTGGCTTATCTGCATCCCTACAACATATGGAAAACATCTGCAAAGACCTTTGAAGCACAAGCCATCATCAATTTAATCAATCCAGAGTGAAATCACCTGTACCACTGTGCTAGAAGAAATGACTGGTTCCCAACAAGTTTTATTCTTTTCATTTGATTATATCTTAATGTAGTGGAAATGTGTGGGAGAGAAAGTCATTTCATTCATTTTAAATGTTCATTTCAGTTTCATCTTTTGCTATATGCATATGTCTGTCATAATCTCTACTGATTTCATAGTAAAACCATAATTTTTTAAATGCCAGAACATTTCAGCTTACATCACTACTTCACTGTCTGTGGCGAATTAACACAAACCCAAACCACTGAACCCTTGTTGTAGCCGCTGTGCTACCCTCTAGTGTGAAACCTGATGTACTGCTCCATACGGGCATTTTGCATGATGGAGGTCACCAGTGATGAAGAAAAACCGAATTTGCAGTTTGTTCTGTCATAACTAATATCATGTAATAGTTCTCTGAAAACAGCATTTTTATTTAAAGTACTGCATTAATGAGAACATATCAGGTTAGACAGTCACTTGAAGCTACAGTTGTGATCGAAAGTTTGTCTGTAAACCTGTATAGCCTAGTTTGTTCGCATTTAAAATGGTGGTATTCATTTTGTTTTAAATCAGCATCTGTGGTCCAACAGTGGTTGAATTTGTAGATGGAGGGAGAATGATTTGAATAGTAGGAGCACTCGGCATCACTAATACTAAAATTGTCTTGAAATTTAAATAAGAGAGATGTTGTCAGCAGGGTGTGGATGTTTTGATTAGTAGAATCAGTCACTTTGATTATTGCAGTGCTTTGGAAAAGGACTTCCGCACGGTAACTGGCTTGTAAAGTAAATCGTGGAAACATAACAGACTGAGGGCTGTTTCCAACCCGGGTCCTGTGTGTATTATCAAGCAGCAGAAACTCTTTTTCCTCTGTAGTGTGCACCTGCGTATCACCTCATTTGAATAATTTGGCTCCTAATTCAATCTACCTCAGTTTCTGCTCAATGCAAATGTCATTCATTCAGCCACTGAAACACTATCAGGGTAACAAGGATAACTGTTTTCCATTTCTGACAAACTTCACAATGTTAGGGCATTAGACAAACTGTAATAAAGTGTTCTTAGATACTGAAAGGCAACAGATCCACTGTGATGGAGGTTTGTGATCCACAGACTGATGGGTGTGATAATTTTACCTTGGGGGAAACCCACTCTCTGTCCTGTCATTAATAAGAACATATCAGGTTAGACAGTAAGTCACTTGAAGCTACAGTTGTGATCTAACAGTAGAGGTTTGTCTGTAACCATGTATAGCCTCATTTGTTTGCACTTAAAATGATGGTATTCATTTTGTCAGCATCTTAACGATCTTAATGACACTTACTGTAACACCAAAAGCAACTTGTGTTCTTTCTTCCATGTGATCTCCTAATCTTGCTTGTTAAAATTGTGTATTTCCATGACATTATTTCAATGTTTGTGCAGTGTGTAACTTTTCTTTTTTATGAATGTAATGACTGAAGTAAAACCAAGGGGAATGCACTAATAATGTTTAGGACGAGTCTTTAGAAGCATATCGGTCTTGGTGGTGTAATTTAACCATTTGTGTGACCACTGAGTGTTGATCTTCATTTGTGAGTGTTTTTGATAACTTACTTAGCAGTCTTTAAGAGATAAGACATGAATGTTTTTAGGATCTTATACATGCCGGGATTTTTTCCACCTTTTAATCAGTGCCTAAAAGACTGATCACAGACGCCCCCTCTACCAAATGAAGCTCATTTCATCATCTGTCTGCCCATCCACCCTTAAAAATCCTGCACCCAGTGACAGGTTGTGGAAAACCACGCATGTGCAAAAAAGATGTTTCCAGTGACTCACTGTGTTTGCTTTGGAGAAATGTCCCCAAAGATCTTGGCAATTGAACGGTCAAGAAATGTCTTTTGAATAAAACATTGAATGCAAATTCCTGTTGAAGCAGTTAAATTTAAGTGAGCACACGGTGTAACAGATTTTCAGTTCAAAAACACACTGACCTGGCTCGTGTTGTAGTTTGGTGGTATTATGTAGTAATAATGAGCATTTATCTCTGTGCCTTCAGAGGTTTGAACTCGTGATGTCTTAACAGTTTGTCTTCTCTAATATCCTCAGGGGTTTGGTGACATCACTGCTCTGTAAGCTCAGGCTTGTAATGTTGTCCTGTCAAAAGCACTAACTTGTTCCTGAAGAACTGGGTTGTATTACAGTGTAATGAATGTACACTTTGTCATCACATGCAAGGTCCTGAATGTTAGGAGTTTTGTCAACTCTGCTCAAGCCAGAATGTCCCTGTGTTTAACTGATCAGTTTTAAGTTTCTCTTAGCAAAAGATCAATAGAAAACCCTGTTAATCCATTCACAGCAGTTTTAACCTTGTTCAGAGATGGTCTACACTGTTGTGTGTTCAGTAAAATGTATTCAATCAGAGGAGGAGTTAATGATCTGGGTTTTTTTTTGTTTCAAAAGCCTCTAGCTTTGTATTAACTGGAATGGTTGCTGAGAAATTACTTGACTTCAGACGAGGTCTAAACATGTCTTTCCCATATTTGCTCTGCGTAATAATCTTGTTTATTCCACATGTGCAAAACCAACAACACTGTGAAAAACACACTGGTCCCTTTACAGACAGCTACATTATTCTCAATAAATTGAAAGCAATTGCTTCAGGTTCTCTGGGTTTTTCAGGTCATATCTGAGCTCTGTTTAATTTACAATGAGCTTCATCTTTCACTACTGAAATTAATGGTAATGTGCTGCTCACATCAGAGATGCTTGGTCAATGAAGGTGGCCAGAGTGATGTCACGCTGGGACAGCCCCCCACAGTCATGTGTGCTGAGAGTGATCTGGACCTGGGGGAACACCACATACAGGAAAAGGAGCAAAGAAGGGAAAACTGCTTATGACACTAAAATTGACTGTGCTTGCTTTAGCCAGAAGATACAGTGCCTTGCGAAAGTATTCGGCCCCCTTGAACTTTGCGACCTTTTGCCACATTTCAGGCTTCAAACATAAAGATATTAAACTGTAATTTTTTGTGAAGAATCAACAACAAGTGGGACACAATCATGAAGTGGAACGAAATTTATTGGATATTTCAAACTTTTTTAACAAATAAAAAACTGAAAAATTGGGCGTGCAAAATTATTCAGCCCCCTTAAGTTAATACTTTGTAGCGCCACCTTTTGCTGCGATTACAGCTGTAAGTCACTTGGGGTATGTCTCTATCAGTTTTGCACATCGAGAGACTGAAATTTTTGCCCATTCCGCCTTGCAAAACAGCTCGAGCTCAGTGAGGTTGGATGGAGAGCGTTTGTGAACAGCAGTTGTCAGTTCTTTCCACAGATTCTCGATTGGATTCAGGTCTGGACTTTGACTTGGCCATTCTAACACCTAGATATGTTTATTTGTGAACCATTCCATTGTAGATTTGGCTTTATGTTTTGGATCATTGTCTTGTTGGAAGACAAATCTCCGTCCCAGTCTCAGGTCTGTTGCAGACTCCATCAGGTTTCCTTCCAGAATGGTCCTGTATTTGGCTCCATCCATCTTCCCATCAATTTTAACCATCTTCCCTGCCCCTGCTGAAGAAAAGCAGCCCCAAACCATGATGCTGCCACCACCATGTTTGACAATGGGGATGGTGTGTTCAGGGTGATGAGCTGTGTGGCTTTTACGCCAAACATAACGTTTTGCAGTGTTGCCAAAAAGTTCGATTTTGGTTTCATCTGACCAGAGCACCTTCTTCCACATCTTTGGTGTGTCTCCCAGGTGGCTTGTGGCAAACTTTAAACGACACTTTTTATGGATATCTTTAAGAAATGGCTTTCTTCTTGCCACTCTTCCATAAAGGCCAGATTTGTGCAGTATACGACTGATTGTTGTCCTATGGACAGAGTCTCCCACCTCAGCTGTAGATCTCTGCAGTTCATCCAGAGTGATCATGGGCCTCTTGGCTGCATCTCTGATCAGTCTTCTCCTTGTATGAGCTGAAAGTTTAGAGGGACGGCCAGGTCTTGGTAGATTTGCAGTGGTCTGATACTCCTTCCATTTCAATATTATCGCTTGCACAGTGCTCCTTGGGATGTTTAAAGCTTGGGAAATCTTTTTGTATCCAAATCCGGCTTTAAACTTCTCCACAACAGTATCTCGGACCTGCCTGGTGTGTTCCTTGTTCTTCATGATGCTCTCTGCGCTTTAAACGGACCTCTGAGACTATCACAGTGCAGGTGCATTTATATGGAGACTTGATTACACACAGGTGGATTCTATTTATCATCCTTTGTCATTTAGGTCAACATTGGATCATTCAGAGATCCTCACTGAACTTCTTTAGAGAGTTTGCTGCACTGAAAGTAAAGGGGCTGAATAATTTTGCACGCCCAATTTTTCAGTTTTTTATTTGTTAAAAAAGTTTGAAATATCCAATAAATTTCGTTCCACTTCATGATTGTGTCCCACTTGTTGTTGATTCTTCACAAAAAAATTACAGTTTTATATCTTTATGTTTGAAGCCTGAAATGTGGCAAAAGGTCGCAAAGTTCAAGGGGGCCGAATACTTTCGCAAGGCACTGTAATTTTTCTGTGCAAAGCAGAAAGCCCCAAATCAATTGAAATGTCAGTTAAAGAAAATGTTTTTTAAAATTCTCAGCAGCAGAACAAATAAATGTCAACACAGCATAATGCAGACTAATGTTAAAATCTGAAAACAGTCTATAAACTAATTATTAAAATACCTTAATTTAATAATCCCTTTGTCTCTTTTGTTAATGTCTGTTGTCTCATCTACTATGTTATGTTCTTTGTCCTGTAAATGTGTTATTTGTTGTTGCAATAAAAAAAAAAAAAAAGAAATTTAAAATACTTAATTTAGGGTTTAGGATGTAGGCCAGGGCCTCCCATTAAAAACCTATAAGGATAATCTATCCTACATTTATTGATATTGTTTGTTTTCCTGTCCACATGGGGCAGTGCAACAGGTTATACAACATCTGCTCAGCTGTTGCTAACATTAGGACATGGCCTACTACTTAGTCTGCTTTAGCTAAAAGACGCACATCTGCATCTGCAAGGGAACGTTGCACCAGCTCACATGTCCTGTGTGAGCATGGAGATTTTGTGCTGTGTTGAATGAGTGAACTTCAGCTATTAGGACAGTGCTTTGGTAAACTAAGGACAAAAAAAACAATATCCTTCATAATTTTGCAGATACATGTAGATGACTTTTTTAAAGACTAATGAATGTGAAGCTCCACCTATCAAGTCCAGCTGTGACATATTTACTGATTTTTATAAGGTACAACCACACTAAGAGCTGTAACCTCCTTTCCATGAGTCATAGTCTTTTATACCTTATTATAGACATTGAACCACTCTGGATGATGGTCCATCTTCTCTGCTTGTAGAGCCACTCTGGACATGAAACCAAAAGCCTGAAAGGAAAGAACACTGTCTCCTAAAATCATGTAGTTATATACTGTAGTTGTATGGGTTTTATGAGTACAAGTTATGATCTATTGGTAAACTAAGGACAGGTCCACCTTGGTTGTTTTAGTGCTTTATAAATAAAGTTGGTATGGTATGGTATGGTACGGTACGGTATGGTATTACAAACCTGATTAAAGTCTTTAAAAACAAACTCTTTGTAAATGGCATCCCGTCCCACAACCTCCACCCACTGAGCATTACGCAGTAGGGGGAGTAGGTGGGTCCTCTCCTCTTCAGTCAGACTCTGGATTTTACTGGCCTGGTAGGACAGAACAGGGGTAAGAGTACAGCAGATTTTTACAGGGGCAGCTTCCCAAATACAGATTGTGATTGGTTGCACAGGATTCCATCTGGAAACAATGAGAGGCTGCATTTCTGGTTTAAAACACTAGCTGGTTCAAAGGTGTGTGGTGAGGGAGAGCTTTTGGTGACTCGCTAACTAAACTTGACACATGATGCAGGGCCACATGTGTTTAAGGCTAGTTATACACATTTCATTCAGCCATGATGACCCTGACACAAAATCTAAACTGCACTGTGAACATTGGACAGCATTCCTCAAATAGATTGCACAATCGAGAAGAGACCTTTGGATGCTTTCTCCCCAGTTGAGCGGTCATCCTTATAAACCAAAAGAGCAAACAGATGTGACAGTCACAGCCTGAAGCAGAGCAGTGACATCAACAGTATCATAGCAACACTAATGAGCCCTATCTGTGGAGTGAATGGGCAGCACACAGACAGTACACACTGGTTTAAACCTCATCTATTCATCACACATTGTGGCTCAATGTATATGTACACAAAGATATGGGACAATGTGCTTGTGTCATTTTCTAAATAATCATGGCACATATGAAAATCTATCTGAACATCTGTGTGTTTCAATCTACAACAAACATTATGCAGTGGAGTTTAATGTGACACAATAAATATCAACAGGTGTGTGAAGCAGTAAGCAGCAGCCGTGTGTGGCAGACACTGCAGAGAGGGTGTGTACTCACCATGTTTTCAGGCTGTTTTCATATACACAGAAAGTTCAGCTCCAGCTTTCTGCAAATCTGCTGCCCCAGCCAGTGACAGCAACAAGAGTGAATTCATCCCACATATGAGCTGCAGGTCCTGCTTAGCTGCCCCTACAGAAGCCTGAGCAGAAATCCTCCCTGCTGATAGGTTACTCAGGCAACTGGCAGTATGAGTTTAATCATAAACTGTCATCTGTTGCACAAGGCAGGTGTGAGGTCAGCTAATACAGCAGGACTCAATATAGGCCAGTGCAGTAGTGTTTTCTGTGTGATGGAAGGATGAAGATTGTTCCTTTGTATTTTGTATCTATTTTAAAGGCACTCTTTAAACACAAACCTCAGGATAGTAGTCCATTGTTAATCATGTCTCTGTTCCACAGGACAACAGATATTAAAGCAAGCTCTGCTCTTCAGCTGCCTGCAGTTCATGTCAAAGGTTAATGTGCTGCTCCTCTGAGAATGCCCTAGTGAACTCATCTGTCACAGCGAGCGCTCAGGGAAATGAAAAGGTTAATTAAATGAGTAAAGGAAGAAGATGTGACAAGTGATTTAGATTTAACCATTAGCTAGATGTGGAAATGAGAATGGCGTTCTGGTCAAAATAGAAAAGCTGTGAGTTAAAACAAAACCTTTAGGTATTTATTGTTTGGAAATGTAGGCTCTTTGACTTCTGCACTAATACACAACTGTTTTAAACTTGGCTTCAGCCTTGTTTGTTCAGCATTTCTTTCACTATTTATGCAAAACCTTAATGATTTATTTTTTGCTCCAGAAGTGATTCCACACATTTGCAGCACAAACCAATTCAGAGGAACCACTAACCACACACGCATACTGCCCTTTGACCATTTTTTTTATATTAGTGTTAGAGATAAAGAGGAAGTTGAGGTGGCTGTTTTCAAGTAGCAGCATGGAGCCTAGGAAATTGCTACAAGCAAGTCTGGCCTTGTTAATCCTTGCAACCTGCAGCTGTGGAGGACATGTCACATCAGGTGAGACTTGTATTGTTCATTAGTGATGAATATGGGTGTCACTGTGATTCAAGCATGGGTTACACAATGAGCCAATAGCAACAGTTTGACACGAGATTTCAGGAGCAGACAATGATACAAAGAATACAGAACAATTTTACTTTTCACATTGTTTATTCTCATCATTAAGACGTTTTTCTTTACAAATGAATATGTCGAGTAGTGGGAGAACGTAATAGAACTGAGTCAACGTTGTGATCTTGATCTGATACACCCTTCTGCTATCTTACATTTATGATGTACAACAAACCTTGTGTACTAGCCATAAATCGGTGCTGTTCAGTCCACGCAGGACCCACTCTGAAAATGGACCAGGCTTTGTTGACATTTCATAATCAGCTAGCAGAAGAAGTGCAGGTTCTCTACACGTCAGATTACTGCTACAAGGTAAAGAACATATGCAATCCCTGTCTCCTTCCTACTCCCATCAAAACTGCAGCATATGTTTTCCTACTTTATATATACAATCAGCCCCTCAAATGGTTGATTCAAGGATGATTAAATTTGCCATTTCTCTGAATTTTTGTATGTAATTTTGAAAGTTTCCTGCTTTTCTAACATTTAACAGTCAATTCCCAAATGTTTTTGGCTTGTGATCCTTAAAAACATGAGTTTTCAACCTTTGGTCCATGGCCCTCTAGTGGTTAGTGAAGGCATTGCAGGTGATCCCTGACCATGCAGTTTCATTGTAGGAATCATTATTTTATTTTATTTTTTATATGCATATACATGTAGTACTCATTGTTTATGAATAATCAAATCCATGCAAATATATAATAGTTAGTAAAGCCCAGGTGACTTTCAGAATTAAATTAGTGCCCATCCATTCTATCCACCCCACAACAGTGGTCCCTAGATCACACTTAGTTGAAAACCCCTGCTTTAAAACAAATTAATATCTACTTGTGAGTCACTACCACAAGTTTTGGTCTTGCTATGCACATGCATTTTAAAACTTCTACTAAAAAAGTAAGTTTTTCTTTTTAGAATGTTGTAATTGAAACATTTTAGTGAGAAAGCCTTGTATTTCACAAGAAGAAAAACTGTAGCTTAAGTTTTTCTTTTAATTGCACCTGTGATATGTGCACATTTTGCTTTTTTGCCTATATTTTTTAAGTTTTTTTTTTTTTATCTTAACCAAGCCAAGTCTTGAATCATTATACCTTTAATCATTATGACTCCATCAAATTTTTCTCAAGACCCCATGTGGACCATTGTCCTGGATTACAGACTTGCTGATGGTTTTACATCCAAAACTTTTGAAAGGAAAGTATATGAAGTGAGTGGTTCACTTCTTTGTGTTTCTCAGTGTGTGTACCAGCATTTGGTGACTGTGAAACCAGACAACAACAATGCATCTGCGGTGATCAGCATTAAATTCACTCTGACTATGCAAGTGGACTCGCAGACCAGAAATGCAACCCTTTGCAGGTAACAAGTTTAATATTAAGCATCACTAATGTCAAGCCAAGTTGAATTCAACCTACAGCCCAGAGAGCTAAAACTGCTGAGTTGTTTTCTGTTTAATCATATTAGTTCTGCTTGTGGGAGTGCATCCCTCTTGTCTGCAGGCATAATATAGTGTGGATGCATCCGATGACTGCGTCAGCAGTCTGCATGATTATTTACAGGGCTGGGAGGAGTCATCCTGACCTGCATTCTCAACCTGAGTGAAGCCCTCTTTTAAACCACCTCGCCGGCTATCGATCAGAAGCCATTTTGGGGTTAATAAGACCTGACATTCCAATATTGATGGAAAGGGATCATTAAACCTCAGCGAGGATGTTAACTGGAAGAGACAGTTGCTATATTTAAAACAATCAGGACTGACAAGACACTGGGACAGAGCCTTTCTTTTGGGGGTCACCTGTAAACGTGGTTCCAGGGATTTGGTTGCAGTGTGACAAGTCTCTGGTGCTTTTTCTTGTCCTGTCAAAAGTCTGGTCTCAGGCTTCTTGGATCAATGCCGAGGTCTCTAACCAGACTGTGCTGCTATTGATTTCCTTTTCCCTTTGAAAAAACACTCCAAGTGATAGCTACTATGTCATCCCAGCGGTGGATCAATAAGACTGTGTAATGCATGTTTTTGGGGCCTGAAACTGGAGATGATGAGGGGACAGAGAAACACTCTTGAAGCGTGCAGACACTAGGTGGTGCTCCAGAGCTGTATAGGTGTTGTGAAATGTTCAGAAGGAGATTCTCTTTCACAGCTAGGTCAAACTGCAGTGGATAAAAAAGGTTATTAAAAGCATTCCTCTAAGGAAATATAATTTGAGAGGGGATCAAATACAGCCAGCCTATAGGTGGTTATGTTTTTACAGGAGATGTTTCTCTGTATTTCAATGTTTTGGATGCAGGTGGAGTGAAACATATGGAGAAGGTGGTCATTACTCTGTCTGGATCCAGATGTCAGAAACTGCCAGTGATCCAAGCTGCACTCGCACAGTGGATAAGAGACCAAGCAACGCATACCTGCGTAAGTGCACAAAGCTGATGAAGAGCACAGAATGACTAAATTCATTAATCATTTTCAGAGTGGATTTGATTGCCTTGTTGAGACACAGTGACAGTAAAGGAACCTGTGTCTACACTTCGGTCAAGCCTTTGATCCATTCTGTACCTAAATGAGTCAGCAAAGAAGAGCATCACTCGGCTTGTCCATATTTCCTGAACAGTAATTTTCATCCATCTCTCGGGACATGATGTGTATTGATCAAGTAAGATATGCTTAAAAAGAGATTAAAGAAAAGCTTTTCTGTTTGTTTTGAAGGCCTGGCTCTGTGCGTGGAGGATTGTGGGTAATACATTAGGGAGTGTGGAAGGATTAGGGCGTAATGGGATTTTGAAAGCGTCTCTCTCCATAATGTACACTCTACTTAACAATATTGCAGATTATGTTGTAGATCAGACTTTTAAGGCCAAGTAGCCATTATCTGAGCAGATATATGGTCAGTGTGCCTGCACCCCTCACAGTATGATGAGCTTCCATTAGCTTCACAGACCGGTGATTATAAAAACTCCCCATAGGACTTGCTCAGCTTAAGTAATGTTCTGGTCAGCAGCTCCAGACAGGTTAGAGTTGCCCTGCTAGAGAATTTCAAAGTTTACTTCAGCATCTCTGATTGATTGGTGGCAGGGCTTCATGCTCATTGTGTGCGTTATTTTTCTTTAATTTGTTTCTGTGCAGCTGCTGTCTGATACACCCTCTAATCATGTTAGTACTGAACTAGGCATTGTAACAGAAACCACAAGTCACCTGCTGAGGATCTAATTCTTCCAAAGAAATCCACTATATTAACCTATATAAAGTGTTCACTTCGACTTTAGCAAACGTGTCAGTGAACTAAACTTAATCTAGTTGTGTCGAATGCCTCCATTATTTTCTGCTTACTGTGACAGTAACTAATAGAGTGATCATGCTTGTTTCAGAGGCCTAGTGTTGTTTCACTTCATGTGCTGAGAGCTATATGGTGTTTTTATGAGTGAAGATGCCATGACTTTTCAAGGAGATTAAGTGACCACTTTGGTCAGAGTGGATGTCAGTGTGTGTTCGGCTCATGTTAAAATGGCTGCTTTTTTGTTTGCTTTTCCACTAAAGACAAACACTGCACATACTGCCCCTTTATTCCTCTGCTTTGACGCAAGAAGCCCATACTAATAGCTCCTGAGCATTAGTGTTATAGTTTTATCATTAGTAGCAAATCTCTTTTTGATATTTCACTGCTGCTGGTGCTGATAGCTAAGCAAAAATGTAACAAACTTGGATTATTGTTTGTAAAAAAAACTTAAAGTTAGATAAAGCTTCTCTTATACTGCACTGTTTCTTAACATTATACAGTGATACCAAGACAGGAACATATGCTTTTTGTGCATTTTAGTTCCATATTCTGTGATCTGGGTAGATTTTATTTTATATTTATCAAATAAAAAACATCAGGCCACAGTATTTTTGCTCTCTGTCACTGTAAACCTCTTCTTGACCCTGGTCTCTGTGAAGCCTTCTGGCAGTCTGTTGCTTTCCCTCTGGTCTAGTTTTCCCCTCCATGTTCCAGCGTAGCCTTACATTTTCCTTTTCGGATGCCTGCAGGGATAGATTACACAGAGTGATTGCTCTGAGATGAATCAACCTTTCTTGTGTGTCACTTGAGGGATTCCCTTTGACCGTGGCTGACTGAAAGAGAGCCACGACAGAGTCCTGGGGTAACTAAAACACATAGTTTGGACTGGTCATTAGACATTTTATCCCCAGTCAGATCCCATTCTGATAGAGATGAACAATATAAGGCTAAAGAGACCATGACATAGGGTGTTACAGTCTGAATATGCAATGTCCATTTGTAAACATTCTCTTTTTTATTGTTTTATTAGCTGTTCTGGTGGTAGCTCTCCTACTGGCCATGATCACTCTCTTTTTTGTTGTGGCACCCCACATCTACAGGTATCCATGTTTTGTTTTTTTAACATCATCCACAATGAAAATACCTATCTTCCATCAAAACCAGACAGAGCAGATTTGTCTCTCTTACAGGAGGTATTCTACATCAAAATTTATTAGAGCTATTTGCTGCCAAGGCCCACAGAACTCAGTGGATGATGTAAGTAAAATGCCGCTTCCAATGAATGCATACGAATAATATGTTAATAACTGCAATTAACTGACAAATCCCTGATATGATTTATTTAAATTTAGATCAGTCATAAGCCAATAAAATTATTTCCATAAAACAAGTGCTCGAATAGTTTCATCAGTACCATCTGTACAATTTTGAGATGTTAAACATCTCAGTATGTTCAAGATGTACCACTAAACCCAAACTACTGATAATGTGTGTATGAGGAAAATATGTAGAAATTTATGTTTGGATAGTTTTTTTATTATTTTGTCTCTTTGTTCCTGAATTTCCTGTTTTGGTTTCCAGAAAATTCAAAAAAGCACATTGTAAAATAACTGCACCATCTTTATGTTTTCACTGCAAAAATAATTGCCTTTATGCTTTTTTTGTAGTTGAGCATTAATGTTGCCTTGATCCAACAGTTACATTGCATTATTTTCATTGGCCAACTCTCCAGCCTGAGATGCATACCAAAATTGCTCTGAGACTCCAGTCATCAAGCCATTCGGGAGACACTAATGGAATGATTGATACAAATGTTAGCAGAGCCAATTGTAGAACTGACTTACATGGAAGTGATAGAGTGTCGTATCTGTCCAATCATCGTGCTTGATGGCAAGAACTGTTGTGTATTTTTGGTGGGCATGAATAGCTCCTCTCATTCTTCCAAGCAAGATGTCTCTGTCTTCCATATGCTGTCCGGATGGTGTGCAGATCCATCATAAAGTATTAGTGGCAGTGTCTTCCTGCTCTGGCTCTTCAAACTGCTGCATGGAGGCCAGTGAGCCGGGCTAATCCAACTGAGAGGGCAACAGGCCAGAGTCATCTCAATGCTGCCTTCACAGAGAGAGGGGGGAAAGAGATGCCGCTACCCTGCACAGAGAATGACCTGGGACAGAGAAATCCCCAGATATCACTTTGAGGAGTTCTGACTCATGGGGTGTTTTGGATTTTTGCTTTAGTCAGCATTTGTACATATCAATAATTAATTTCAAGTTTGCATTACACATATGTTTGCTCCAAGTACACAATATGATAGTGTTGCCATTTTATGTATTACTAAATGTGGTCTGTTTCTAAATCCTTTGTGTTTTTTTAATTTAAATGTTAAAGTACAGTGTGTACCCAAAGCAATGTGACCACTTTAAGAACTTCAATTATAACTTAATCATAATTAATCACTGCTACAAAACAAGGTCATCTATTAAAAGAGGTTGTACAGTATAAGGAGCACTTTGATATGAACGTCTTCAAAGCATCATTAGACAGCTGAGGGCAAGATGAATTTAATCTGTGTTAATATAATAGTTTTATATTAATATTGGATCAAATGACTACAATACATGTATTCTGAAAGTGTTCATTTATAATGACAAATCTAAAGACAATTGTCACCCCCTTCTGCAGTCCCTATGTTTTACAATGTTTTTTTAGTATTTTTCAGCTCAGCTCTCTTCTTCAGCCTTGATTCCAGTCAAAGTTGGCAACAGATTTTTTGCAGAAAGCTCTGATAAACCCACTGCACACTACCTGTCCACCACCAAAAGACAAAGTGTGCAGCTAGCTAGTGAACTCAGTGGAACATTTAGCTGCTGAGGAGTGGTATTGTTTTTTCAGAAGGTAGTGGAGACCAGGCAGAACTGCACTTCCACACATGAAATGACTAGAAACACTATTCCAAATTAATGCTAATGCTAATGTTACTGCATGTTTGCCATATGTGTGAATATCAACTTCATTACGTTACACATTCAGCATTATGTTTATAAAAAATACATTTACTATTGCTGTAATATGCTAAGTTGAATAGTTGAAAAGCTAACAAATGCAAAGAAGAATTAACTGCAGCAATCAAGAAATACATTGAAATATCACAAGCTGAAGCAACAGAAACTGGACATACACCTACAGTGACTTAACAAATATTGCTTTACAATCTTATGTGGTTCACATTTGCGTTGAGTTACTTAAAAGCCAAAGTGCTGACATTATTTTGTCCTCTCCTAATTGTTTCACCAGGATGGAACACACGAGGCTAAGCACAGTACTGATAAACCAGCACGCCTGCACTCACTGGATGCTTTTCGAGGGTATGTATGCCATCAACAACCCTCCTGTTTATTACTCTATCACCACATGTGCCTTGTTCACATGCTAATTCTTTTTGGAGTGGTCTGAGGCATGATGAAAATCTACAGGCCCAGCATAATGAATAATTACAGGGGTCACAGTCTGGCCACATGTTCCCCCAAGCTTTGGTTATCAAGCAGTGTAGCTTTAGGCGACGTTTCTGATATCAGTGCGTCTTGGGTTTGGAACAGTGTGTTTCTATTATACAGGGGTGATGCATATGATTGAATCTGGGCTCCTTGCTAGCCGTAATTGCGGCCTGGTGGTAGACACAAAGTACTCCTCTCTGGAAACAGGATGCTGGTGTGGCTTTGACCTCCCCCTTGCCAAATAATTGATGTAATAATACGGTCAACATATCAGCACACATCCCCACAGCCATAGATCTCCTGCCAAAATGAAGAGCGAGAGGAAATCCAGCAGCACAGACACCGCATCCAGCAGACAACTGGCATCTTTTTCATCCGTGGCTTCCTTTTGGATGAAAAGTCATCTGAAACCACAGTGCATATGTGATGAATTCAAAATGACAGCTTTATTTAGTTTGGTCTGAAATGGTTGAGTACATTTATACCAGAATTTGCAAAGCAAGGATTTGGTTTAACTTCTGTTTAGTTACACTTCCTTCCGTGACCCAGTTTAACCTTTAACCAGTTTAACTGAAATGCCACTCTGGGGGTCACAGGTACTTGTTGCATATTGATGCCCTGATCAATAATGCTGAAAATTCTCATACCTGACAACACATTTCATCAAACTGTGACTCAGCGTTCAGGATTTAACGTGTGCTTCATCAGCCCTGTGACTTACGATCTCTAGCCCTGATAAGTATCAACTTTCTACAGAGAACAGACACATCAGTCATCTACCATAAATACTGAGACATTTCTGAAAGTGAAAGGCTTTTCTTCTGAGCTGAAAGGTTTTTCTGATCATTGCTCAGGCTCCACTGACATGATATACAGAGAACTGCAGAGTATGGTTGCTCGTTAATTTTTCTAAAAGGATTTGGATTTTAATCTTGTGTCACAGTGCTAAAAGCCTGTCGCCGGGTTTTTGCTGTTGAAAATCGCATCGTCAGTAGCTAGCAGTGCCATACAACAGAAGGAACAACTATTAGAGCTAAACAATGGATTGTCAGTTGCACTGAACACCAGGTGGCTGACTCATTCTGTGCCTTGTTTTGACTAAGCTCCAAGTTTTCCTCCGATTTGGTTTCAGATATGCTCTGATGTTTGGCCACAAGAAAAGAACCTTGGCATTTCAACTCAAGTAGTCATTTATTATGACTAGATTGGATGTCTATGTATTTGATACAGCAAGCACAGTTGGTAACTCAATACTTTAAGTTTGAATGTAACATCTGCAACAGGGAAATGTACTAAGCTCATATTCTAATTGGTAATGCATGTACAGTGATTCAATCCAGAAAGTCCATCAGTGTTATAACCAGTCACTCCTGCAAAAAAGACACATCCATCTGTAATCTACCGTATAAAACCCAGATATGATAAAGTCTGTTACTGAGGTGACAAATGTTTTGTGGAAAGCTTCACAGGGATAATTAGAACCTAAACCTGATTAGCAACCAAGAAACAAGCCTGTGGTGCTTCAACATGGACATGATTTGTTCTTGTGTTACCTTAGGTGCAACCTAACACAAAGAGACACACAGCATATTAATTAAGCACTTAGTTTCCCTTAATCATAATTAGCAGTCACAAGTGTCGTGTGTGTGTGTGGCATTTGTAATTGACCTATTCACAGTCAGACACTCAGGCTGTTTTCATTAAAAGCAAGGACAAAAAGCAGCAAGTTTCTCCAGGTCTCATGTGGTTAATGTTGTAACCTTTATCTTTGTCACTATGGCGACTAATGGATATGTTCGTCAAAATTTGAATGATAGCCTGCACAATGGTGCCTGTGTGTGAACAAGCAAGAGACAGACAGCACGTGGACACGTGCACCAGCGGTTACTCCACTTTAATAGCTCTTTAGAGATGATAGCGGCTAATTAAAATCTAGTATCAGCAGGTTGGGGCTAGAAGAGCTGTAATGGCTTTGGTGCACCTCATAATTGAATCTAGGCAGAAAAACAAGAGGAGGCAGAGGTAGATACAGTGTTCCTTATCCAACAGTCTTGTTCTTAGAAATTGTCTTAATCTCGTTATGGCTCTTAAAGCCCCCTTATGATTTTTGTTCTTTTTGACTAAATAACACATGAATTGGAAGCATAAATTCAAGCATGAAATCTGCCTCAGCACAAAGTTCTCTAGCAACCAAATACATTCTCCCACAAGTTTGTGTTGTGTAATAACCCCCACCTCCCCCACCCCCATGCAACACAAACACCTTTTTTCCTCCACTGTTTGGTTCAGTGAAGCGCTCCCATCATGTGTGCTGTGTTTCAGCAGCCTTGACCAGTGCTATAGTATAAAGTCTATCGTATATTAGATGCAAAGTCTTTAGTCAGCATTCCTGTTATCCAGAGGACAAGTGTTCATTTCCTGAGTGATTCATAATGCTTAGATTGCATTGCCTTGCATTTGGAGTGTGACAGAAAAAAAGCCCCTCCCTGGCTTTCTTTAACTGTAATTCAAATGTAACTATTGTATCAGAATTAAAGTATTAGTTGGATGGTAACAGAACTATTAGCTGTAAGTGTTTATTTCATATTATAATGTTTTCAAAAGTGGGGAACAGTTTTCAGTTTTTATTTCCTCCATGTACTTTTTACTGGAGCATAAAGATCACTCCCATTAGTAGGGATTTAGTGAGTAGTGTGATATAATACCTACTCATTGTAATGTCTTTATAGGTTTGCTCTGACAGTGATGGTGTTTGTGAACTACGGTGGAGGAGGATACTGGTTCTTTCAGCATGCACCATGGAATGGTTAAGTAAAGTACAAGATACATCCATCCATTACCTATACTGCTGATCTTATAAAAGGTTGCAGAGAGGCTGGAGCCAATCTCAGCTGACACTGGGTGAGGGTCAAAGTACACCTGGACAGGTCACCAGTCTATCACAGGAGATGGACAACCACTCACACTCACATTCACACCTATGGGAATTTAGTAGATGAAAGGACCAGGAGCTCATAGTGACCAGATTTTTTTTATGGGCAGAGCAAGTAGTTGTTTCTTCTTCACACAAAACTTGGTGGGCAGTGAATACATGAAGATCAAGTCGTTCAAGCTGTTCACCGGTGGCTTCAGACCTGTTGTCACTAATCATGATAAATGTCACCTCAAACCAAACACACAGGATGCCATTTCTCATACAAGCCAGATCCTAGCTGTGATCCATAGATGTTTATTGTTATTAAACAACCAGGGAGAAGAGAAAAGGAAGAGGGATGTGTTTAAATGACAGCTGGGAGAATATGGGGGGGACTAGTAAGTGAGTATCACCTCTGTCAGTGGCCAGCGTGGATGTGCCTTTGAGCAAGGTGCCTGTGAAAAAGGAGATGGCTGCTGAGTCCCTTTTTACCTGGGTGAACAAAAGTTTACCAAAAAAATGCAAAAATTGTCAGTTCTTCTTGTAACACATATCAGTGTGAAGGGTGCTCTAAATTTAAAATGTATAATGGCCCTTTTTGCCACATACTACAGTATATACAAGGGGGTATTGATAGGAGTGGTTTGATTAATCATTTCATTGGTGTAGGGCCACAATTGTTGCATTTAATGAATCAAAATATAAAGTTAATGACAGAAGCAACATTTTAAGGACTTTGCATAATTCTTCATTCATCTTGTAGTCTTTTCTGATTCAAACAGTGAACTCTGTGTAATGGCATCAAAGTATCTTTACTGACATATTCCTTTAAATCTCTGGATTTGTTGCAGGTCTGACTGTGGCAGATCTTGTCATGCCGTGGTAGGTTTGGTTCAGATATTTGAAGTTTTTTTGTTTAAGTCTACACAAATATGCATATTTGAATACATACTGTATGTCCATATGCTTTAATAGCTTAGTCAGCAATAATAACCTACTGTTGCTTCTCCCAGGTTTGTGTTTATCATTGGAACATCGGTGGTTTTGGCTTTCAGATCCATGCAGAGGAGAGGAATTAACCGTCTGCAGCTGCTGCGCAAGATCTCCTGGAGAACAGTCGTCCTCCTGCTGCTCGGCTTCTGCTTCCTTAACTACTCTCCGAGAGATGGGCCACGTAGGTGCAAAATATGTAGCACATATTATAAATGTCAGTGGAACTAATACATTGTTTGTTCTGTACTTTTTGTTTTTAATATAATGAGGAAACAACCAAACACAGACTCTGACATGTCTGAAAATAGGTCCACTTATTGCATACTGTAAGTCATTAGCATCACTGGAGACTTACTGTTCATCTAAGTTTGGTTAAATCGCATTTGTTACTTTATGTGCTGTCAAATAATTTAGACTCTAACTCTGTAGTAAGATATATCCAAGCATCCATTTCCAAATAATCACACAGGACTGATGTATAACTCGATATGTTCTTCATATGAACAATTCTAAAAGCTGTGATTTCACAAACTGCACTTAATCAGGTGGAAAAACAAGTTTTCTGTGTTTAGATCCAGATTTGTGATAAGCTGCAGGCTTAAATGAGGAGAAGCATGCTGAAAATCCCCATTTCATGGTCCACCTGGGGATGCACAGTCCACCTTTCACACATTAGCTGTCGTCGGAGCTAATGGACTTTCCTGGGTGGAGTCCTGCATAACTGGGTTAACAAAAATATTGTTATTGTGTGTGCAGTCTCCAAATCCAGCACCAGGGGATGTTGAACAGAGGCAGATTGAGCAAAAGTAACCACTGCAGTAATGGGCAATTATAAACAGATAGTGTTACAACCTTCGTCCCCATGGAGGCTGCTGCTGGAGCTGCTCATAACAGCACAACGACTTTTACCATAAACTGCAGCTCTGCCCTCTGTCTCCAAGGACGTCCTCGGCAGTTCAGGAGCAAGGTTTAATCTAATCAGAGAATGGAGTCACATCAGCTCAATCGTTTCAATGTCAGATGAGACAGAAGAAGGTGTTAACCTTTAAAATCAGCCATGAGTCATTTCAAATAAATGCTGCTGAGGTTGGATGTGCAAAGCAACGTTAAAGACCTTGAAAGTCCAGTTCTGGTTATTTCATTTTATTTTTGTCGGTTCATTACTTTGCTAGTTTAGAAAATTATAAAGCAGTTTATTAAATGAATCAACTTCAGATTCCATTACATGATCTCACGGTGGTCAAACAAGAACATAGCTGTTTATTTTGATTTCTTAGAAGCTAACATTTTAAAAATGTTCTTTTGCTTAAGGTGAGCTTTTAAAATTTTATCTCTGATCAGAATTTACTCTTTGTTGAATAGTAATTTAAGGAAGACGTCAGTCAGATGAAGATGAGGCCACAGGGTCAGATTGAAACCTCTACTACTGAGCAACCTTCAAAAGAATCTGAAAGTTGTTGGCTCAACTGTTTGCTCTACCTTGTTCAGTTCTGCTCACATCCACCACAAAATCATTACTGTATTTTATTCAATCTCTCCTTAAAAGAGCTCATAGATGGGAAGTAGACAGCAGAGCTTTAACTTCTTAAATGGTATTGAACATCAAAAATGATCCATTTCTCTCACGCAAAAAACATGCACATTGATCAGAAGAAGAAACAAAAGGTGTTACTGTTTCCTATATTTCACCTTAAAACTAACTTTCAGGATAATTTTAATTTAAGTAGCATTTCTGTTTGGGGACAGACAGTAAATTCTCTTGGAGGAAGCTGTAACCTGCATATTTATCAAAAGTGTCATTAGTAAGAGCTTCCTCTTTTCCGGTGAAAGGAGAGATTTCTGCCTTTTATTTGATTTGTCTGGATCAGTGATTGGGATCACACTGTTTTTACTGAATTTTGCACAGCAAGGTGGTTTCCAATTAACTAATTTATAGATTACAATCAATCTCTCTACCGGAACCTGATCCTATCCAGTCCCAGTTTGTCAAGACCAAGAGATAACTGGGAATCTTTCTTTAGCTTCCTACCTTGATGGGCTGTCCATATCCTGCAGACTGACTGATCATTCTTCAGGCAGTCATAGTTAGAGTTGTGGATGACTGAGTAGATCTCATGCTCAGTATTACCAATTTATTATCTACTCAGATCAGCAAGAGTGGCTTCATACCAGTGAGCTACATCTTTGCATTGTGTGGATGTTCTTCCTGTATGTATCCACATTAAAGTGCACAGTGTCATTGTGAGGGTTCACACTATGTCGTTGGTTGTGTTCCAGTGTCCTGGTCCTGGCTGCGGATCCCCGGGGTGCTGCAGCGTCTGGGCTTCACCTACTTTGTTCTCTCTCTCCTGCAGACTTTCTGGGACCAGAAAGAAATCCCACTGAAAGAAGTGAGCAGCGCTGTCAAGTTCACTTTTGTCAGTCATTATACACCAGGGGGAAAAATAAAAGTAACATTTAAACAAGAGTCTAGAGCCGCGCTACCGGCTCTGTGGGGCACAGTGGTGCTTTGAGCTTGATGTTAACATCAGCATGCCAAGATACTCAGAATGATAAAATTAGTATGATGAAATTTAGCAAGTACAATGTTTATCATGTTTTAGTGTGGTAGCATGCTAAATTTCCAAGAAATGTCTGAAAGACAGATCTGCATTTTCATCCCCAAAGCTCTGATGCTAGCATGACTAAAAAGAAAACTGATTTGCTGTGTGTACCTTGTATTTCTGGGACAGTCTTTGTCATTTGCCGTTTCTAATTGCTGGGATAACTAGCGAAACACCAAAATAAAGTTTAATATTAAAACATGTCAAAATGGTAAGCAGTTGTGTAACTCAAGATGATTTTATGGTGACAATATTTGCATATGATGCAGTACCACTGGTGGAACCCGATCCAGGACCTGGTCCTTTATTGGCCACAGTGGCTGATCATCACCCTGCTGGAGATTCTGTGGCTGTGCATCACCTTCCTCATGCCTGTACCCAACTGCCCCACGTAAGTACGAGCAAGACTCTTACTGTCATGTGTTGACCAAGTCCAGTCCACTCAATCTACTGCACACATACAGTATGCAAAAAGTGTCAATTTCACCCATCTCTCCATGTTGAGATAATCTTCAGCTGGGTCTCTTGTGCTGCAGCAGAGATATTGTTGTGCACCTTGTATTTCTGGTGTTATGAACCGCCATGATTTATGGGCCTGTGGTGGATGCTTCAGAGGGCATAATTAGCCAATCTCAGTCTGTCATGTGCAGTATGAGGAGCACAGACAGAAGATCCATCTTCCTTGCTCCGTGTCTTCTGCTCAGTGCTGCTTTTTGTGAATTGTTTTTTGATGTCTGTGACCCAGCAAGACATCGGTGTTGGAATACTGTGGGATCAAATTGAAGATCTTGTGTTTCTTCCTGATTGGTTTTTATTATTTAGTGAAATCAGTACATATTTAGTGAAATGTGTTTGAGATGTGTTGTAGACACACATCTCAAACAAGGTTAAAACAGTGAGCTGATCTTTGCCAACAGACAGGAAAACCACCTAAGCAGACTCAAATGTGATTCATATTTCAAAAATACATTTTTAGACCTCAGCATTTTAAATGTTTTTGTCTTTCATAATAATTTAGTTGCTTTTTCAACACTACTAATGCTGATTATTACATTTGTTTGTGATCAGAGGGTATTTGGGAGCCGGTGGAATTGGTGATAATGGTCTCTACCCAAACTGCACTGGAGGTGCAGCAGGATACATTGACAGATGGATCTTTGGTGATAACATGTACAGATACCCCACATGCAAAGTAAGATTTTTTTCACCCACCATTTCATTTTTTTATATGTCTACTGGGAAAAAAAACCTTGCAGGTGGACTTAAGACCATTAAATCAACCTTTGTTTTCCATTTTGCTTTTTGGAGGAAATGTATCACACCACACAGCCCTTTGATCCAGAGGGGGTTCTGGGCACGATCAATTCGATTGTAATGGGATTTCTGGGAATGCAGGTATGGCCATTTATTTCTCCTGCATCATTCAACAAATATCACACAGGAGTAATATTTCATTTGTCTTTATTTAGTTAAATACATCACTGATTGCAACATTTTCATGATATTTTATTTTGCAAATGCACAGTTTAGCTTAGTTAAAAAATATTTCCCAATTCATTATGAATGCCAATAGATCAGTGTTTTGGTAACTGACTTTTAAGTTACAATGCTCAAATCATTATAAATCCAGAGCAGTTTGTCATTTCAGAAACAATTGCAGTCAATCAGGATAAATCAGAGACTACATTGTTTTCATAGGGGAACACATGTTAAATGCAAAGTAGCTCCAGTGAAAGGTTTTTTTTGTTGTTGTTTGTTTGGTTTTTGTTTGTTTATGGTTTGGGTGACCTGCCACTTATATCATCACAATACTGGCCCCTGATTGGCTGAGAGCAGGAGCTACTTTTATCACAATTGCAAAAAAACTGATTATTCATTTCATTTAAAATTTCTATATCAGAGTCGCTTCACTGGTGTTTTCCATGCTAATGTCAACAAAGACATACACTCTATTATTGAAATTCCAGTTAGCTCTGCACTTGAATGAAGGTTATATAAAAGATATTTCATTGTAATTGCACAGCTGCATAACTGAGTGTTGTCAGAGAGTAAAGGGAGAGCTTTGGGTCACTAGATATAAGTCTGTGATGGCAACATTGTCCCCTATTGCTATTTGTGTTGTGGAAGGTTGCCATGCAAAAGAAGCCACATTGCTCATTTCCCCATGGGCAGTTAGCACTGAGCCCTTCAGTCAGCGAGTCTTAGACAACATGCCAGGTGTCCTGCCCTCCTCTCTGTTCACTCATGCTAATGTCCTCAGCTGAAACATATTCATCATCACCAAATTAATCAGAGGGTGTGGATGACTTACACTCCACATCTGGCTTGACAGGACAGGAGAAATGTGTCCGGCACATCAGGGATACAGCATTGACACCCACATCCCAGACCTATTTGGTTACCCAAGGCCAAATACACAGAGACACCGACTGTTGGTGTTTACATGGTATTTCTTATTAAATGTCTGGTTGAGTGACCTGTGTTCCTTGTGTTTATCTCTGCCTCCTTTTTCACAGGCTGGGAAAATTATCATTTTCTGCAAGGGAATGAACTTCCACATTCTTTGTCGATTCCTTGCGTGGGCTGTCCTACTGGTATGTTACATTCTGTGGAGATTTTAAATGCAGCTGGTGAAGTAAATTAGTATAAAAGTCAAGTGATAATTTAAAACCAGAACAACAAATCTTTTAAAATACCTTCTTGTTTCTGTGACTCAGACAGAGCCGAGCACTGTTTATGGTCGTGCCATTGTATTTCGACTTGTAGGTGAACTCTGCAAAGTGTTTTCCAGCCACCAGAGTATTAGTCATAGACATAGCTGTTGAAGCTATTCATTAGCAGGACTTAGTAGAGGACGTTTGTGATCTCAGTACAATTAAACAATATCCATTCGAGGCTGTGTTTCTGGGCAGACATGAGTATCCAGCGCCTCAGGGGGATACACATTGTTTCTCATTGCCTGTCTGTGCCACACATATGGTTTTAGCTTAAAAGAGTTGTGCATATTACTTACAGTCTACTGCAATCAGACTAATAGCATCTGATTAAGAGCATGATTGTTTCATTTACCTGCACGCTAAGTCTCAGCAAACATTTAGAAATCAAACACTTGACAATTTTGATAAAGTAATATAACAAAAAAGTAAGAAAAGTCCATTCAAACCCAGAATTAACAGATAAATGGCATTTATGGTTGGATGGCATTTGAAGTTGTATTTGTTTTGGATTTGTGCTCATTCTGGGTGGTCTCAAAACACAACAGGCAAGCTGGCCTCTATTTCTTTTAGAAGGGGAATGTGTCCCAGAGGGAGAAGCCGAGCGTTATATGAGATGGCCCATTCTGCATTTCTAAACCTGTGACAGGAGGCTGTTAGTCAGCTCTAACTAGACTGACAGAGCAGGATTTGCTGAAGTGTACACTCAGTGAGAATCTGCAGGGATATAGCTCGTTTGCAAAAAAGGGTTAGTAGGAGCCTGCCTGCTGTGGAGGCAGACGTCCTGAAGTGGCAGTCCTGTGACCTAGAGCGATGATGGAGCTGAAGGAGCTGGCCACATCAGTCTTTGAAATCAGACTGTGTAGAATGAAAAGAAGGGGCCAGTAGACTCAGCCAGAGAAAAACACACAAGCAAAGATAGGTCCCATGAATTTTAAGGTATGTAGTTGGTGTATGTTACTGTGCCTCTTCTGTAATTTTGGATGTCAGGCTCCATACCGTTATGTGCACGTGTAAGGGGTTTGTTTATTTGACCCATGTATTTAAACCACACTGAAGGCTGAGAATACAGTTTGATTTCTTTATTTTTCTTAACTGTACTGTAGATGTCTCAGGAAGATTTAAAGCAATGGGTCCTTGCCCACATTCTAAAAAATGCAAAAAAAAAAAAAAAAAAAAATCCTCAAAACCTTATCATGTAAGAAAACAAGCCTAAGAGCCTACAGCCAAGCCAGCTGCGCAGCTGTGTGCAGCTGTGCTGTGGCATGGAGGTGCTTTGAGACGCCAGCATGCCACATGTTAACATTTTGGTGTTTAGTAGGTATAATGTTTGTCATATTCATCCTTGTGTTAGCATTCACTAATTAGCACTAAACAGGAAATGCAGCAAGTCCAGCTGAGGCTGAGAAGATGATTTGTTAAGCAGATAGAGTACTGTATATTGTCATAAATCAAAGTTTTGTGCAAATTAAAATGTTGCCCTGATGATGGCACTAGATGAAAAGTCAAGCAATCATCAAAGTCGTTACAATTTATCCTGAGAGAGGGTATAAATAAAGGTTTGTTTCAAATTTTATGATAATCCTTTCAGACTGGGTCAGTTTAGTGGACAGACATTGACATCCCTATGGAGCCTCAGTGCAAATTGGCAGTTGACTGCGGTGTAAGAACAAACTGTATGTAGGACAATGACAATTACAAAAGTGAACAGGAAGTTGGCTGAAATACAAAATATGATAGAATTATAAGAGGACCAATAATAATGTAATAAATCCAATATAAGAAGTCCAGAAGTGCAATGAACAGTTAGTTGTGTATGTGAATAAAAAAAAATCTTGTTCATATAAGTGAGAATCAGTTAAAATTCTCTTGTGGGAATTTAACATCATTAACCTTGATTTGGAATTGACAAATCTGTCCCATTATGTCTCCTGGTGTTGAATCTTATTGACTATTATTGTGGTGCGAGTGGCTGGAGGGAAGTGGAATAAATTAGATTTGTTTGGCTTTTCTCAGAAGCACAGAGTGATAGAGTAACATATGACAAAATAAATAAACATTAGGTTTTTATATTTCTCCAGTGTATCTCATGGCTCATCACTGTATGCTACATGGACGATGTATAGAGATGATGCCACTCCAGATTATGATGTGTCAGGGTCATATATTGTTTAGTGGTGAATCAATAAAGTGAATTAAGTTCCTGGCTAATTGAAATAGAAAGCAACTATAAAATAGATTTTCTCATATTGTAGTGGTTTACAGAGATACAGATACAGACCCTCTGTAAAGCACAAATACAGATTGAAATGGTTCCACATGTTCTGTTTATGTGTCTGTGGTTTATCCCCCATCATCTCAATGGCTCAATCTATTTTTAGTCCAACAAAGTGTTTTCACCAACACAGAAAGCAAAATTAGTTTTAGTGATTGGCCTGCTCTTGATATTGAATTTTCTAATAGGATTTTGACTCCGAGCGGAGGCAGGAAACAGAGCTGAACTGCCTCTCATTTCAGACATGTGCTCTTGACATTAGCTGGTCTCCTCAGTGGAGGAGGGGGCTCATTTCTGCACACACCCAACCACAGGATTGTTCACAAAGGGCCAGAGAGTGTTGATACAGTCAATGATGAGGCCAGATTTTACACCACACTTCACTATAGTGGGTTTTCTGTGGTGGATTAATATCCTGGCGAGGTGGCCATGCATCTTCTTCCTAATAAACAACAGCCCTTGTTAATTAAAGTCCAATGATCATTCTGTAGAAGTGAGAAACTGAAATTGAGTGACTGGCCCACATACCAGCCCCAGCCCACAACCTGCTGCCTGGATAGCCTGGAGACTCAGCCCAGCCCTGCCTAGGTTATTTCCACACCATTGATTCTGTCATCTATATGAAGGATGGATATCCACCGACAAGCATGTTTGGACTCTGATCCACTGCTCTGGGCTCCTCTCTGGAGCACCAAATGCTTCTTCAAGTAAATCTGTAAATAGATGAGACAATTAAAGACAATTTTATTGATGTAGAGTTCACCAGTTCACCCACAGCTCCTCAGAGTCATGGGTCAACTGGGCCTGAGATGTGTGGAACTCTCTTTGAAGAACTCAGGTGTGGAAGATCAATTTGTCTGGTTCACAGTCCAATGCTGTGTGTGTGACTTTGTTCGTCTGACTCTCAAATAATGGGTTCATCTACTGGACATGCTTCATTCTGTTGCCTCACATTTTAGCAGCCCAGTGCAGCTTGCTATATCACCCTCCATCGATTTGAAATCTGTTTCATTTCCACCCTTAGGGAATCTCTGCAGCCATCCTTTCTAAGTGCACACAAGATGGAGGATTTATACCTGTCAATAAAAACCTTTGGTAAGTGCTTCCTGACCCTCTAAATCCAGCCACTTTTCCTCACAAAGGAAAGGATGCGTTTCCAACATGCACAAATCAGGGCCGCTAAAAGACGTGTTTACTTACCTCCAACGACAGCTATGATTGTAAGTAATCACCCAGGCTGTTGAGAGTGTGAGGTGGAACTGTTATACATCCTCCCAACATGATCACTCTTCTTCTCTGCCAGCAAAATAAAGAATGCTTCATCCTTTCTACCCCAGAAGCACTTACCCCCTCATTTTACCAGCCCTGTGTGAAGGAACAGGGTCAGGCTCTGGGAAAAACATCTGTGTAATCACAATGCAGTCCAACTGCTCCCAAACTATCATATGCCTTTTTGGAAAAAGGCACAGCGCCTTGATAAGTGTTTGTAACAATTTTGAATGAAATACAGCGCAATTACTAGCTGCAGAGGACGCAGCTTACTTTACGACCAGCGCATTTGTTCCACTCCCACCTTCCCCTTAATATGATGTGAATCATTTTAATGTTTCAGCAAGAAGAATACCATTTCATCTGTGATGTGTAAGCAAATTCTTCATGATGTTCCACAGGGGCTTGCTCTAACGCCGCACTCTTCCCTAGCCATTACCTGCCTGGCTTTTATAGGCAGTTCATCATGCACAGGTTATTGAGCTCTTGAGTACAAGTCCCTGCCTGGATGTCTAGAAGTAATTAACTCCCAGCCCAGAGTCTTTTTTGGCCCCACTTCAGCTTAGATAAAAAAAATAAAAAGCCCACTGAAAGGAGGCTCCAGGAGGCAGCCATTTTGCATTAGGTGATATTACATCAAACATTCTTGCACTTAGGAACAGACAGGGACATGGCTGGCTGGCAGGGCTCCACAGGGCACGTGCCAAGGATCCACCGCAGATGCAGTGTAGCCCAATCCAGCAAACTGTCCTGGATTGGCTCGAGACCCCAGGGTGTTATTTGCATTAGGGGATTGATAGACTCCATGTTTTTACACCCCTTTTCACACTGTACAGCAAACATTTTAGTGAAGCCCAAATGTACACAGTAAAATGTTGCTCTTGTTGTGAAGTGGTGCTGATGGTCTCTTTCTTCAGGTCGTTATCCTATGTGATGTGTATGGGCTGTTTCTCCTTCCTGCTGCTAGGAGGCATGTACTTTGTCATCGATATCAAGGGCTGGTGGGGTGGACAGCCATTCATCTATCCAGGTACTGAGTATTCACAAATCATAGGGCTCAGGGCATTATACTGGTGTATGTGCTTTGGACAATAAAACCTCAGACACATAATTAGCACACGACTGTACACAGCGAACCCCTTGAAAAATGCATTTAAGTTCTTTAAGTGGCTATAATTGTTTTTTATTAACAGTGAATCACAGCTATTGTACTGATGAACCCACACAGAGCTATCACCTGACTCTTAACTGCAGCTATTGAATGTTTTAGTGCCAGACAGACAAAATTAATGGCTAGCTTTTGAACACAGTGGAGCAAGGTATTTTGCTCATGAGGGGGTGGAGAGCAAAACAAATGTAAATGGGAGCACAAATAGTGAATTTATTTGCCAGGCTAAGAAACACAATTTACACATCTGCTGGATGTGTAAATAAGCTACAGTTTGCTAATACATTCACCATGTCAGCTTTAAGGTTTGCAGTGCATCAGTGTTTACAGCCTGTTTCCTCTGCAACAGAGTGACCAAAATATCAGTCAGGATAATTCTGCTCCATTTCAATCAAGATCTTATTCTTATAATTGCAGCCACTTTGACAATGCTTCAAACCAATTTTACCCTCATCATCTCTGTGTAAGTACTTTGTGAAACAAGAATTCTGGTTTACTGGGGCAAGCAAATAACAACTTTGGTTATCATTTCAAAATATTTGTCTCAAAGTCTGACCAAAAGTCAACATAGAAGTGAGGGTTGTGGATTAACTAACTGCATATACATCTTATCTTAGGAATCTTACTTCCTCTGCAAAAATAACAGACATTTTGATCTCATCAATTTAGATATTGTGGGACTCTACTTCAGCAGGTGTTAATAATACTACTAATAAAAAAAAGTGTTCCAAAGAGGTTTAATTGTTTTGTAGGTGTTGCAATTTGCAGTTAGTGGTGTAAAACTGAAGCTTATCTGAAGAATTATCCCTATAGTTGTTTTGTCATCATGACTAATGAAAAAATAACTTCGGTTTAAAAATACCAACATTTTCCTTGGAAACAGAAAAGTGTGCTTTGTTTCTTGTCCTCTCCTCCTCAGGGATGAACTCCATCTTGGTGTATACTGGTCACTTTCTCCTGGGTTTCTATTTCCCGTTCAGCTGGGAGATGCGCTTCCAGGAGAGCCACTGGGAGTGGCTCTTCCAAAGCTTGTGGGGAACTGCACTCTGGGTACTCATTGCCTACTTTCTCTACAGAAAGAAATTCTTCCTCAAAATATAAACTGAATGATCATCTGTCCTCCTATTCTGCAGATCCATTATTGTTTTCTTGTATTAAAAATAAACAATATTTATGGTAAGGTATATACAGTAGCTTATTATACCATCCGTGAGAGGTTTTAAAACTTGGCCTACTCTTCTTGGCGTAATCACATTAGTTTACTTTTCAATGACGTACAACCTTCCCACAAATATTTGAATTAATTGTACTGATGTTATTATCCATGTCATTTTAGCAAACACAAGCTGTAGCTCAGTGGAAAAAGTTTATCTATGAAATCTATTAAATCGCTCACCAGTTTCTAAAGAAGATGTCTGATTCACTGTCCGTGTGGACAGCTGAGGATTTACAGTATTTGATGCCACTTGTTTTGTTCACTGAATACACTGATTAAATCAAATATACTGAGGTGGTACTTAACAAATTAGACTGAGTGATTCCACTACACACCAGGCCAGCCATTATGAGTCTGCTGCCATGGCCACTCTTCCTATGTGTGTGTGTGTTTGTGTGTGTGTGTGTGTGTGTGTGTGTGGTAGGGTGGTGTACCATCTGCTGTCCGAGTGACAGTACTTTAATAGGGGTCAAGATGCACAGCTCACAAAGAGGTGTCATTAATATGACGGACACCTCTTGCACTCATATTAGAAAATCAAGCAAATGACACAAAACCAATTCATTAGAGAACACTGACGAGTCTCATTAAGGAGTCTGAGCCTTTTACACATTTAAGCTACATATCCAGGAAGCAGGATTTGTTTGTATATTCCTACTGTGATATTTCTACATGGTCTACATGATTTCTGCATGTTCTGTAGACTGTACTGTATATGTGACAGTACTGAACATGCTCAGATCAGTGTGGGCTCAGGATCAGGTCAGGTGGTGTCTACATCATGAAATGACCATCTAGTTAATGAAATGAAACAGCATCATGCTCTTCTTCAAGGATGAAATCATATTACGCACTCCTCAGAAGCCCTAATAACATTGTGTAATATGGTATAGTGGCTTTGGTAATTGTCTTATGGGCAGATGATGTTGAATCCCAGTAGGTGCATTCTGCCATCATGTGCAAGATTCAAGTCTGTAATTGCTTTCCCGAACTACTGTGCCAACAATGCTGCTTGGAGTTCTAAAGATACATTTTATGTGAATACAATGACGAAGCATTGTGTTTAAATATAAGCATTTAGCTGACTCATTCAGAATGACTTACAGTAACTGCATCCGCTGTTAATAAAGATCCAAAGTGTCAAACTGTC